TCTTTCCCTGTGCAGGCTGGGCATTCGAAAAACTCTGAGAAGCCTACTGTCTATATCTCTCTACTCGCTTTTCTCCCAGGTCCTGCAGAAAGCTTATTCAAAGAATCCTACTACCAGCTGATGAAGACAGCCCTGCGAGAAGATGGGATTCTTTGCTGCCAAGGTGAGGATGCTGTCTGGCAAAGGCTGATGCCAGATCATTGCATGCAACGTGTGAGGCACAAAGGGGACTTTCTTCTTCGGAAGATGTGACGCAGGGAGTAAAATTCATTTCAGCTCCCAGGTACAGGAGCGGTTTTGATCTGTACACGTCAACTCGTTAACTGCTGGACGGCGCTTAGTAAAACTGGTGTAAGGGTCTTATCTTGCCTTTGAAACCGCATGAGCTGTGCGCAGTAGAGCAGGTTTGGACTTGGACCTACTGTTAACCTGGCACAGGCCTGTGCAAAGAAGAGGGGCAGCTCTCGCCTTGCATCGCATCTTCCTTTCTGCCTGTAGGTGAGTGCCAGTGGCTGCACCTGGATCTCATTAAGGAGATGCGTCAGTTCTGCAAGTCTCTGTTCCCTGTTGTGGAATACGCCTATTGCACCATCCCCACGTATCCCAGCGGGCAGATTGGCTTCATGCTCTGCAGCAAGAACCCGGTGAGTTTCAGGCACCTGAAGTGCCCCTTTCCACTCCCTGAAAGCACCCGCAGAGCCTGCCTCAGGCTGTCCCTTCTGAGCCTGAGCTGTGGCACTGAGCTCTCCCAGCTCTGGGGCCTCTAGAGTCGTGCTGGGCCCTGGCTCTGCCAGCCCAGGCCCCCAGAGCTGCAATGCAGCTTGCTCAGTGCTGAATGAAGGGCAAAACCGACCAGTAATGTAACCAGTTGCCTTAGAAAAGGACATGGTTTTCTCTCTAGTACAACAAACTTGGAAGCAAGGAAGCCACTACCAGTTTCTATAGCCTCGTTAAGGCTTTAGCGTATTGATGCTGGTTGTTATAAAGTGGATACCTGCTTGAGAAGAATCAGCTTGCGACTGGTAATCTGCTTGTACAGAGGCTTCCGAGTGAGAGTCAGTGTTAGGATGTGAGGTGGTAACTCTGTCTCATACCACTGAGGTCTGCTCTCTTCCCAATCTCTGCATTACAGCAAGCCTGTAATGCGATTGTCGCATTGGTGTAGGGAGCCAGCGGCACTTCTGCTGCCATATTTGATTTATCTGGGGCAGTGGCAGCATGCACTGTGCCTGACAACGCAGATGTGGATTCTGGTCTGAAGAGCAAAAGCCTTGCTTCTTAGATGCTCGGGCACAGTCTGACAGCTTCATCTGGCACATGGCTCACATGCAGTCTGACCTCATACACTGACGTCTGTGAATAAGGGCTAGTCACACGAGGTACGGCGTGTAAACTCCAGCCCTTGGGGCTGGAGCTGTGCAGAACCTTTGGCCTCATACTAGAACAGAAAGTCATCTGTTTTCTTGCGAGTCCTCTTGGTTCTCTGCCACCAATCAGGATGCCTGTCACGCCGCCTTTTGCTTCTTACCCAAACTCTACAGAGCTACCTTGCTTCTTTATTGCAGAACACAAATTTCCGGGAGCCTGTGCAGCCGCTCTCACAGCAACAAGTAGAGGAGAGGAGTCTGAAATACTACAACTCTGACGTTCACCGGGCAGCTTTCATTCTGCCAGAGTTTGCACGGAAGGTAAGCAAGGCTGCGCTGCTATTCATCCATCAAGGACGAGGTATGACTTTTCTTCGGCAGAAGTGGGAGTATACAGGACTTGGGATTTCCTGCAGCCCTAAAGGCTTCTGTGGGCAAGTCGGAGCAGGGCAGCATTTTGTATGACATAGCAGAGTGAGTCAGTCTGGGAAGACTGGAGTTCAGTTTGGAACTGTTCTTTGGGTTGATGTCCCATGCCTTGATGGCAGATCACTCCTACTTCACCTACCAAAACGAAGTCCAAGAGCCTGCAGAACTGGTGTTTCCCATTGGAAAGTTCCAAAAGTCTTCAACAAAATGTGGTTGTCTTTTCTAGCACCAAGAAAGGTAAAGAAAGGATGCACTAGCATAGTTCAGTCTGCCTCTTGAAGGCTAGTCTGTATTTCTGCATCATTCCATCATCTCCTAACTGGGTTGCAACTGCATGTTCCAGAAGAAAAACCTCCTGAGAGTGTCCTAGGCACGAAGGCAAATGCGACGGGTGTGCTTCAGAGCCGTATTTCTCTTGAGGGCTGGTAGAGCTGCAGCAGGTCCATCCTGACACTTTTTTGTCTTTGGCTGTCTCCAGGCCCTGAGCGATGTGTGAGACTGAGAAGCTGCTTCCTTCCTTCAAGGTGGACCCTGAGATCCTCAGCGATGTGATGGGGACCTTCCCGGCAGACTGCAGATTTGCTCTCCACTGTGTGGGATTGTTTAACCCTTTGCCAGCCAACATTCCCTTTGATGATGTGTTAAAGATGATGGGGCATAAGCCAGATAAGACTAGTGAAAAGGTCCAGTGACTTATTGCGTGAGGTCAAAACTGTTCTTTCCAGTGCTGGAAACGTAAGATGTCTTTTTCCTTTCTCTCCTCCCTGCACCCATTCTAAATTCTCCCGACCCTGCGTTCCCCTCCCACCTCCATCCCTGGCAACTGACATGGTATATTTATAACTGACACGTATTTCTGTCCGGTGATCTTCTGAAACCTGGGAAGAGTCCAGAAGGGTCACTGACTCAGCCTTAAGCACAGAGAGCAAGAGCTTTGTGCACAAAGTTAGCTTGCTCTCTCCTAATAGGAGCTCCCTGCTGCCGAGACATTCTGACTGGTAACGGGTCTGAACCTTCATGTCCCACTGCCCTTCTGCGACACCTGCGCTGTCCTGCAGCACAGTTGGAGAAGTCGCAGTGCACACTGTTGCCATTCACAATAGGTCTCCCTCCAACCCTGACGGAGTAGCAGTATTAAACACCAGCCAGGCAGGCTGGCAGCAAAGTCTTCTGGCTTTTTATATATATATATATATAAAAAACAAACCTTAGATCCATTGCCTGCTGTTAAGTACTGATGTTGGGGAGTCAGTTGTGCTGACAAATCTCTTATCTCAGTCGTGCTGAGATGCCTCAGGCCTAGGTATTTGCTAGTCCTCAGGAGGCATCATTATTTCTAATGCTGCCCCCAGAATCCCCAGATGCATAAGTCATTTTTTGTTGTACTCTGTTATAAGATGGATCTGCCTCCATTTCTTTTGTTTTAAAGACTCCGTACCACCGCTGTGCAGTGGGTATCTTCCCAGCACAGCCACTGTGCAGTTGTCACTCCCTTGCAATCAATTAAACACTCGGCTCTGGTTAAGGTGACATCAGTGTGGGTTCAGTGTGCTTCTTTGGGGAGAGTGTGGGGGTGGAAACAGATGCTGAAAGTTTGCTGTGCTTGTCAGAAGACATCCAGGGGTGCTCTGTAGTTGGCCTGACTTCCTCTCTCCCTCTCTCATAAAAAATAAGCTCTGCAGAGTGATCCCCTTGCATGTTTTGTATTGTATCCTGACTGCATAATAGCCCCAGCTTCTGTCGTCCTCTGTGCTGCAGACGTCAGTACCTTCTATCCAAGCTATTCTGTAGTCCAAATGCTGCCTCTGGTACAGCTTTCTAAGCTGTTTTCTAGCTGCCCCTCTCCCTGCTAGCATCATGTAATTCCTGTCCAACACTGGCCCCACTCAGTTGCACCATCCTTTCCTCTGCAAAAGTTATGGTGGCTTCGTGGCTCGAGGGCCTGAACCAAGTACTGAACTCAAGCTGAACAGGCAGGGAGCAGTCGCTAGATGGCATCAGGAAAAGACAAAAAAAACTTCTGAGGGAGGCTTTTTGGCTTGATAAGAGAAAACTAGAAGGAGCAGGCTTGCAAAGGTTGGGGTTGAGCTCTGCCGGACTTGTGACCCTACAGACAGCATAGGTGGTGCAGCCGCTGCATGCCTACAGCAAGGGACTTCTGTGGCATCAGTACCAACCCTCCTACTATCTCCTCTTTGTGATGAGACTTACCACTTCTGTCCCAGTGCCCCCTTCTGCTACCAGTATCAGTACAGCGTCTTTGTGGTCATAAGGGTTTGCAAAGCATTGGTAAGCTGCAGAGCTGAGTCTGGATCTCCTTTGTATTCTTGTGTTGAGCACATTACACCCATTTTGTCTCTTAATTTTCTGGGTAGCTGTCTCCTTTCTCCCACAGCTACTGATTAGTTAGGGCTATTGAGGCATTTTCGTTGCTCAACTCTTGTATTTTTACTGTAAAAGAGCAGACCGGTCATGGAGGCTGGTTCTAGCTACTCCTGTTAAAATTGCTGTGGGACTTGAACCCATTCAGCCCTCTATCCCTGACAGAAAACTACCACTGGCGCTTTCTCTCCCCTGGAAAGGGAATCAAGACCAGGGCTGCATTCCAGGAAGGCCTTAGAGCAGCTGCCAACTAGTAACAAGTTCAAGCCTTCCACCCACCCTTGGTGAGTACAACAACGCCCAGGAGGGAAAGAGCTTCCTCAAACTTGTTACTAGCCTCCACGCAGCTAATTGTTCCGTCTGTTACTCTGAGCTCTCTCCAAATTTGTAAGTTCAGCGAGTGGCCAGTGATGAGAGCAGGAAGACAAGGCTGTTTGCCATCCAGGTCACCCATACTCTGTCCATAGGGTCCTACATACAGTTTCCGAGTCATTCCAAATCACTGTTCTTTACAGACAGTTTCAAATACTTCAGTGTCTTGCAACAGGTGAAGACTAAGAGAGGGAGGAAGAGTTTGTGCATCTATAGCTAGTCCCATCTGAACAGGTCTGAGCCCTTTTTGACTCATAGTCACCCCTGCGTTGAGAGCTGCCCCAAGGTCTACATGCCGTTTGTGCTGCTGGAATGGTATTTGGCATGCCAGTCATCTCTCAGGCAATTGTGTCTACAGGTTGATTATCCCTTCAGAAATGTGTGAGGTCTGAGCTGTTACGCTGCAGGCTGCTGTGGCCAAGGACGCTGGGGACTGAAAAGAGACTGGCAGTTTGGGTGATGCCCAACAGGAGAAAACTAATGGGGCCTCATGTAGAATTTAGCACTAAACACTTGAAAGCAATCTTTGCAGTGTCTCCAGGTGGGCAACTAAAATACTTCAGTAACTTTTTTGGAGATTTAGCTGGCTTTTGCCCAAGGCTAGTCAAGCAAGGCTGTTCATAAGCAAAGATCCACAAAGATGTTGTTTGTCTAGACATGCTGCAGTTATGTTCCAGCATCTTATTAAGCTAGGAGTATATGAACAGGGATCGGCTTTGTCCCAAGTAGCGTACAATGTACTATCAGTCAGAGCAGGTGGAGACAAGCGAGGGAACAGAGCTTGATGGGCTTTAGCACATCGATTGCTTAAGCCTCTTGGTGCCTTTTGAACTGTGTCAGACTCCCTGCTCTGTGCTGTACTCATTGAACTAACTCAATTTTTAGAAGTTCAGAAAAGAGCTTAAAAAAATTCAGAGAAATCTCTTGCCTGTATCTCTTAAGCCCTTTCAGCCAGTTAATTGGCACGAGTGTCGTATTCATCCAGAGCTAATGTTATCAAGGCCTGGCTGAATTATTGATGGAGCTTGGCTGGAGCAAGAGACTGCTGAAGTAAGAACGACAATTCATCTTTCATCAGAGAACAGCAGCCTCAGTAAGCAAACAGTTAAAAAAGTAATAACACGGGCCACCAAGTTCAGGGAGAGGAAAGTTCCTGTGATAAAATGGTGGGAGAAGAAGAGGGAAAAGTGTGGACAAAAGCGTGAAACAGCGGCTGAAGTCTAGCAAGAGAGTCAGACAAAATGTTGTTAAGAAGTAGGATGAGAAATTTAACCAAGCTGAATACTGAGAAGCCTAGGTGAAGCTCTTTCCTGGTCAGGTATAGGATGGAGTTAAGTGCATTTAAAATACGCAAAAGGTGGGGAATTAGAGCCAGGCAATCTCAACTATAGCACAGTGGTGTGTGAAGCAGATAAAGGGCGGGGGGGCATTATTAAGAATGTTGGGGATTTCGGGGGCAGGCCTTGTCAGGTCGCCAGTTTGGTGGCTAAGGGGGTTTGAGGTGCCAGTGGTGAGGACCGAGGGCTGGCCGGAGCGGGGACCCCGAGGGGGGCTGCCCTCTCCTTGGTACTGAACGGTGCTGCCGCGGCCGGGCCTCGCTGCAACGGAGCTTGCTCAGCAAAGCTACTTCTGTGTGCCAGGGATAAGGGCAAGACAATGCGTGCGATGACCCTGCATGTCTTTCATCCCCCTCTGGCTGCAGGAGAGGAGCAAGCAGAACCCCACGCTATGTGGAGCACATGAATTCCTGTTTAAAGCTCTCCCAGCAGAGCGGTCCCTTCTGCGGTGCTGGCAGTCGCGCAGTCCCACGTGTTAACATCCCTGGTGAGCTCTTCCTGACTGAATTCCCACAAGGCACAGTGCGTGTGCAATCCCTCAGGAAATCTAAATGGTAAAGAAACATTTCTGTCCAAGTCTTGCCACCAATGGTACGAGTCTGGTGCAACAGAGGTCAGTTTATACGCCAGTAGGCAGCAACCTCAGGCATCCTCAGCCCGCTTCACAGCCAGAAATGCCTCCTACTTGGAGCCAGGCAAAACATTTTCAGTGGAAAATAGGTATTTTGAAATAGAAGTGTTTCATAGCAAGTAGTTATTTTTGAGGAAGATTTTGGGTGGAATAAAAGAAATGTTTAACTTTGCATGCATTTTGAAATAACAAAAAGTTTTGAGCATACCTCTGGGGTGTTCTGCTCACCCTCCCTTCATTCTCCTGCAGTCCTTTTGGGGTTGGCAGACAGAGAAAGCAGCACAACTCCCCCAGCTCTGCCTCCCCAGAGAGCCGTAACAGGCTTGTAGTCATGCGTGCCCTGACAGCAGCATCCCTGCGGTACTCCCCTCCTCCTCCCTGCACCTGCTCTCTTATCGGAGATGAGCGGGAGCAGTAGGCTCCAGCCCACGCTTGCGTAGTCCCCTCCTTGGGTTTGTTAGATTAGTGCCGATGAAAAGCCGTGGCTGGAACGGCCACCTGCATGCTTCTTGGAGGCCCCTGGGGAGCACAGTGCGAGGGAATACTGCAAGCCTGGCCTGATAAATGAGCTGTGATTTCAGGCCCGTGAACAAATTGGTTTCCCCTTCCAGGAAGGCTCACAACTGTCAGCTGACTATTGCTTTATTTATTGTGTTGGCCTTTGCAGCGAGGGACTCCTGAGGGCAGAGAGAAAGGGTTCCAATGACAGGAAAGCAGAAGCATTCGAACCCTTTCTTGAGCTGCAGCTGAGTGCCTCACCTTTGGCAACCAAACTTTTTTCTGGAAGCCTGATGCAACTCTGTTATGTGCTTCAGGACATGGTGATCTGAACCCAGACCAGGCAGAAGACAGCAAATATCCGGGCTACTGAGGAAAGCAATTGAGAAATTATCTCATTCCTTAATGTGGCATTTGGTGCCAGACATAGTCTTAGCTTTTGTATTCCAGCAATGTCCAGTCTTCGCTCCTGTACAGACGGACTGAGAAAAGATCAGGGACCTCTTCCTTGAAAGAGGAAACATCTACCCATTGCATGTCGCTTGTGTGCCCTTAATCACAAAAAGATGGACGTTGTCATATGTGATTGTGTAAGCATATTCTGCTGTACTTCCGAACCCACTGTACATCTCTGCTGAAGCCACGCTAACTGTGAGACAAAATCATTGGATAGCCACGCCTTCTCAAGTTACTGTATGCTGAGCTTCCTTCTGGAACATCCCCACCCTTACCAGGCTCCCATGGATGTGTTCGCGGGCATGCTGATTTCAGACAGATCTCCCCTCACTGTAAAGTGGTAGAAACCCACTCCAACCATGTGCAACTCCGGACAGAAGAGAGCATCAAGGAAGAAGATTTC